GGCTAAGATGGAAGCTCTGTGGTCATCAGGTTTCCGGGATTCTTTATTTAAAAAAAAAAGTAATCTTATACTCAATTATTAAACATGAACAGAAAAATGTATACATCTTGGTGAAAACCTTGATAAATGCTCACGACGTGAACTCACCCACATGATCAGCACCAGATAAAAACAAAACAAAACAAAAGCACACGGCCACCACCCCAGAAGTTCTTCAGACCACTCTCCGGCCAGCTGCCCCCCCTCCCCCAAGAGAGCTGCGCTCTTGACCTCTCCTGCACATGGGTTAGCACTACCTGGTTTTGAACTTTGTATGAATGAAGTCATTAGAACGTATGACTTTCATCTGCCTTTTTGTTTTAACCGTTGTATTATAAAACCATAGCCAGACGCAGAAAACCACAAACAAAAATATAGCTGAGTGAGTTCGTGTAAGGCAAGCATCCTTGTCATGCCGGCCAAGAAATGGAACTCCACAAGCCAGTCTAGGAGCCCCCACGAGCAGACTCCACTATAGATGAGCAAATGATGGGAAGTTCTCCCCACTGATATTTTGGTGGAGTTCTTGTTGAGTGCCATCACGTCGGATCCAACCCATAGCGAACAAACCACAGCTCATTCCTGCACCACCCTCACCATTGTTCCCATGCTTACGTCCGTTGTTGCAGCCACGTGTCCATCCACCGCCTTGAGGGCCTTCCTCCTCTGCACTGGCCCTCTACTTTGACTAAACATGATGTCCTTCTCCAGGGACTGGTCTCTCCTGAAACATGCCCAAACTATGTAAAATGAAAGTATGTAAGGCAAAGTCTTGCCCTCCTGGCCTCTAGGGAGCGCTCTGGCTGCACTTCTTCTAAGACAGACTGGTTTGTCCTTCTAGCAGTCCATGGTTCATTCAATACTCTTTCCCAGGACCACAATTCAAAGGCATCTATTCTTCTGCGGTCTTCTTTATTTAACGTCCAACGTTCACATGCCTGTGAGGCAATGGAGAACACCACGCTGGGGTCAGGCACACTTTCGTCCTCCAAGTTACATCCTTGCTCTTCAATAGTCTACAGAGGTCTTGTGCAGCACATTTACCTAATACAGTGTGTCTTTTGATCTCTTGACTACTGCTTCCATGAGTATTGATTATGGATCCAGACAAGACAAAATCCTTGATGTCAACTTTTTCTTCATTGATGATGATTGTGAGGAGCCGGGGCTTCTTTACAGTGAGTGATAATTCAGACTGAAGGCTGAAATCCTTGATCTTTATCAGCAAGTGCTTCAGGCCTTCCCCACTTTCAGCAGGCAAGGTTATGTCATCTGCCTATCTCAGGTTGTTAATAAGCCTTCCTCCAGTCCTGATGCCACCTCTTCTTCATGTAAGTCAATTTCTCTGATTTTTTCTCAGCATACAGATGAATAAGTATGGTGAGAAGATACAACCCTGATGCATGCTTTTCCTGATTTTAAACCCTGGCTCTGGTCTCAAAACTGCCTCTTGATCCATGTACCAGTTCTTCATGGGCACAATGCAGTGTTCTGGAATTCCCATTCTTCCCAAGGTTATCTATAGCTTGTTATCATCCAAACAGTCCAATGTCTTCGCATAGCCAATAAAACACAAGTAAACATCTTTCTGCTTTGAGCCAAGATCCATCTGACATCATCAATGGAGCCCTTATTCCAAATCCTTTTCTGAATCTGGCCTGAACCACTCCCTGTCAAGGTACTGCTGTCACCATGGTTGGCTGAGCTTCAGCAAATTTTTACTTGCATGTGATATTGTCCTATGATTTGAGCATTGTGTTGGGTCACCTTTACTTGGAATGGGTATAAATATGGATCTCTTCCAGTGGGATGGCCATGGAGCTGTCTTCAAACTCTTCTGGCATAGACCAGCGAGCGCTTCCAGTGCTTCATCAGCTTGTGGAAGCATTTCAGTTGGTTTTCCCTCAATTCCTGGAGCCCTGTTTCTGCCTAATGCATTCAGTGCAGCTTGCACATCTTCTTTCAGCACCATTGGTTCTTGCTCATACGGTACCTCCTGAAATGGTAGATTTTGACTAGTTCTTTTTGTTACAGTGACTGTGTGTTATTTCCACCTTCTCTTGATACTTCCTGCATTGCTCAATATTTTGCCCATGTAATATTTTAAATTGCAACTTGGGGTTCAAACTTTTCCATTTAAGATATGCTGAGCATGTTCTGGTACACTACCGGGAACAGGCCACACAAATCAACGACTCTTCCTTTCCCTTCTCAATACAATTGTTTCCCGTGGAGAACAACTTCATAACCTTGGCTACGTCATTTTTCATCCCCAAACCTCCACTTCCTCATCTGCAGAGTGAAGGGCAGCCCTCAAGATGTCCAGATAAGTTCCAAGAGACGGGAGCCTAAAGTCAGAATCCAGACACGCCAACTCCGAGTCCAGAGTCTAATCTATGCTTCTCTCTCCTGACTCGGTCTCACGCACACACACACACAGTGCAATAGAAGGAAGCCCTGCCTGCCCTCTCAGAACTGTGCAATATCATCATTCAGATTACTACAGAGAGCATATACGACTAGGCATGAGGATTCATCTTCTGTAATTCTGATGTTCTATATCAAAATCCTTTTAGGCTCAATTAGCCTCATGAAAGATAATGGAGGGCAATTGAAGTCTGCATTTTTAATATACAAGCAGTTATTTAGACAACTTGTTTGCTGCTCACTGGTGCTCCGTGAGAGAAGAAGATGCATCTGCTCCTCGCTTACAGGGAGCTCATTATCCAACACCCTGCATTTACCACAGTGGGGACAAAATGACTTTGCACACCTGGTGGTAATAGATGGTCAGGTGCACTGCCGAAGGAACACTGGCTGTGATGGTGAAGGGGGTGTGTCCACTTGGCTGGGCCATGATTCTCAGTGGTTTGGCAGCTATGAAATGATGTGATTTGGTGTTATATAATGATGTAATTTAGCACCATGTAATGAAGTAGCCACGCCAGGCTTTGTGACCTGATGTGGCCAGCCTCCATTTTCACATAATACTGGGTGGGGTTTTTCTTTTGTACATAACTGTCTGGTCTTTGGAACCTGTGTCAATAAGAGAGGAGTGGGTGTTCTGGGTAAGGTTGCTCATAAGTGGGTGCTTCAAAATTCATGGAAAAATAGAGTGAAAAGACAATGTCATTTTCCCAGGAACTTTTTGTTGCTCCCTCATATGGAAACAAAATATTATTAATAAAAATGTCTGATTAATAAATTCTGAGAGCAAAGCCATTTTAGACAGGTCCCCTGAAAACTGAGCAACATTCAAATAGGGCCCAAGACCACAAACTTACACAGATAATTCATAGAACGAGAATTGAAAATATTTCACAGAACAGGTTTCGCTTTAATGGTCATCAGAGGAAGAGCCCCAGTGGCGTTGAGGGTTATGCACTGAACTGCTAACCCCAACATCGGTGGTTTGAATCCACTGGCAGCTCTGCCGGAGAAAGATGAGGCTGTCTACTCATGGAAAGATTTGAAGTCTCAGAAACCCAAAGGCTTGTTCTGTTTTGTACTACAAGGCTGCTATGAGTCAGGATTGACGTGAATGCAGTGAGGTGTTTTCCTTTCTTTGTGTCACTCAATAATGCAAATAAGCTTTTAAAAAGTACTTTTACTGGGGCCTCTTACATCTCTTATCACAATCCATGCATTCCTCCAGTGTGTCAAGCACATTTGCACATATGCCGCCATCATCATTTTCAAAGCATTCTCTTCCCACTTGAGCCCGATATCAGCTCCCTATTTCTTCCCCCTCCCTCACAAACCCTTGATAAGTTATAGATTATTATTTCCATATCTCACATCGTCCTCCTTCACCCCTCACCCACTTTTCCATCATTTTATTGGGGGCTCTTACAACTCTTATCACAATCCATCCATCCATCCATTGCGTCAAGTACATGTGTACAGATGTTTCCATTATCATTTTCAAAACATTTTCTTTCTGCTTGAGCCCTTGCTATCAGCTCATTTCCCCCCTCCCCTGCAAATAAGCTTTTAAAAATAATGATATAGATTTAATTAGCATAGAGTTTCTTATAGTGCTTGTGTGTTTCTGCATGATAATCACTAGCTTTGCAAAGGGGGCTGGAATCAGCATGGGACATACCCAGGCTATCAGGGCTTTCCTCCAGAACACAGCGTAACACGCATGGAACTCCATGACTAGAGGTTTGTTCTAAGGACATGGTCATTGAGGTAGATGGTGATTTACGTACAAAGATGTCCATCATGGTATTATTTGGGGGAAAACTGAAAATAAATATCTGAAAATGGATTAAATAAATGATAGTATACCTGTATGAAAGACTAGCTGAAGCATTGCACATCATGTTCTTTTTTTTTTAATAATCATTTTATTGGGAGTTCTTACAACTCTTGTTACAATCCATACATCAATTGTATCTGCCATATTCGTACATATATTCCATCGTTCTTTTCTAGACATTTACTTTCCATTGAGCCCTTGGGATCAGCTCCTCCTTCCCTCGCCCCCCACCCAACCCTCATGGCCCCCTGATAGATTGTAGATTGTTGATTATTTTCAAATCTCACTCTGAGCAGCGTCTCCCTTCCCCTCTGGTTTCTGTTGTTCTTCCCCCTGACTGGGGGTGTGTGGTCATATGCCATTCATTGTGATCGGTGCTCCCTCCCCTCCCCACTTCTCCCCCACTTCCCCCTACCCTTTTGGTATCTCTATTCCATTCCTGTTCTGGGTTCCATGTGCTGTAAGTTTTATCTCTTGCCTATACCTATGTACATGCTCCCGTCTAGTCTAGAGTGGGAGGTGGCATTGGGGTCATGATAGCGGGGGGTGAGGAGGCCTCCAGAAAACAGAGGTAAATTGTGTGACCCATTAGTGCTCTACTGTACCCTGATTGACTCACCCCATCCCTACGACCCCTCTGTGGGGGGATGTTCCATTGTCCATAGATGGGCTTTGGGTCTCCGCTCCAACCCCCCTCCATTCTCACCAATGCATTTTTGTTTGTTTGTTTACTGTTTGTTGTGAATCTTCTGATGCCCGTTGCCCAGTCTCGACACCTCACAGTCGCACCGGCTGGTGTGCTTCTTCCATGTGGGCTTGTTGCTTCACTGTTCACATCATCTTCTGAAAAACACTTCATGTGGAAAAAGATTAAGATACAATGTTCAATCACAATAGTACAATTTATAACGATATGGCAGCCCAGCACTTTTATAGAATGCAAGATAGATAAAAATAGAAAAGTGTGCTGATATGTGTTAAGATGATAGGTGTGATTCCTAAACTTTTCTGTACTTTCTAAACTTTATACCATGGATGTATATTTCTCTCTTTTTTAATCACTTTATTGGAGGCTCGTACAACTTATCACAAGGATGTATATTTCTTATCAGAAAAGGTAAGCATTATATTAAGAAGAAAAAAAGGAGCCCCCAAGGAGAGCTGAGATAGATTTAGGAAGGGGTCAGGAGTAGAAGTGGCCGTCAAGGTCCACCTGGACCCACCCGGAAGAGCTTGAGGAAAAGAAATGCACGTGGACATCTTTAGCCTATTGCACATTCACCTGGATCTCCCCCAACGCTACCTGGGGCCCCTTCTTATCCCTCACCACAGTAATCTGAACCAATTTGGCGTCCTTCATGCTCTTAAATGTTGCACGACTTCACGTTTTGGAGCAGGCTACAGCGCCTGCCTGTGTTCTAAACGGCCGTCTCCCCTAGGTACTCTGAAGCCAGACTCCGCCCAGGTAAGAGGTGGCCAAGTGCAGAATGGCCACTGCCCCTCCCAGGAGAAAGGAAGTGTATCAGTCATCTGGAGGCAGGGCCCCTTGCGGAAGGATGGTCCTGCCGGTTCACGGTTCCCGCTGGCTTGTCCCAATCCATGGCAGAATCCGGGAGTGACAAGGAGGGACAAGCATCCCCGACACTGGATGGAGAGTAGGCTCAGCTTTGGGAGGTCGCATTGCGTCATTGCTGCCGCAGTCAGGAATTTCACCCAGATTCGGAGCCAGGGAACCTAGACGGTCCCCGCTTGCCCAACTCGCAGAGAGGGGTGTGTCAAAGGCCCGTCATAAGAAGAGTGTGTGGGGTGGGACGGGCTGCTGCGATCATCTTTGGAAAACACAATCTCTCATCGCTAGAGCGCTCGGCACCTGCCCGTACTTCTGAAACCAAAGCCCTTGCCACTGAGTCAGGTCCCGCTTTCGGCGACTCCCCGAGTGTCAGGGGAGACTGTGCACGATAGCACGCTTCGAGCTGTGACAGCTCAGAAATAGATCATCAGGCCTTTCCTCTAAGGCACCTCTTTCAGTTTGAAGGCCCGTGCTTAACTTTCCATACTGCTTCTAGAGCGGAACTTCCGGAATGCTGGTCATTTGAGACTTCCACTTACTCTTCTCCATGACTGTTCACGTTGCCCCTGCAATGCCAGCTAGTGCCGCTGGGAAGCTTGAAGCTGAGGATCAGCATACTTCTGTTCTTCTTTCCTATCAGCTACTTTCTGCTTCATGGCTTCAGCATTGTATAACGTTCTCATGAATGGATGGGCTGGGAAAGTTGTAAAGACATCATTTCACCTCTCAAGGCCCTAGTTTGTTTATCTGTAAAACATCACCTGTCCTGTCTGCTGGGCACGCAGATGACGGAAGTGCCTTGAAAAATATAAAGTGCTACCAGAGGGAAAATGCTGTTACAAGCGGGGTGGGAATAGTGGTCACCCAGGTCTTTGCCTCTGGCTAGCTTGCAACATCTGTGGGCTTGAATTCTGATTTCAGGGAACGGTGGCACGTGCTCTTTCGTGGAAGGACTTTGGTTGCAAGCAGCCTGTGCCTCTGTGGCCAGAACTCTAATGGTGAAGCCAGGGCTGAGGAGGCAGCCGCGCCCACCTGTGTAACGGTAAGATCTCTGCCCACGGAGAAGGGATTTCATCAATCCAGAGCCTGGCCGTGTATCCTTGTCGCACGCCCAGCTGATTAGGCCACAGGACGGGCCCAGTGACAGAGCTCACCTATCAAGAAGGCAGCCCAGTTTAGTAAGCTATTCTTACAACATTCTTTTTAGAATGCCCCAGGGCGAGAGGAGTCTGATTTTAGGACCCTTGTGCAGAGCTGCAGGATGCTACCTGCCATGGCACCAGGAGGCCTATTTTCTCAGTCTGTGCCTGAATCAGACCTTTCTAGCTAATGGAACTCCCTTTTTAGAAAGGCCTTGGGACCTCCCGAGGGGAGCTGTTGCAGGCTGATGTGACTGATCCCCCAAGCTCAGCCCTTCAGGCACTCACTTCCTGTCCCTGCATGCTCTGACCAAACAAAAACTCTGCGTGCTGCCACTGAGTCAATTCTGACACATGGGGACCCGATAGGACGGGTAGAACCGCCCCTGTGGGTGTCTGAGACTACAATACTTTACAGGAGTAGAAAGCCTCTTTTTCCTCCCTCAGAGCTGGCTAGTGGTTTTGAACTGCTGACCTTGTGGTTGAGCAGCTCAATGCATAACCACTATGCCACCAGGGCTCCTCTCTGATCAGACAGGGTGGTAGACAAACTCAGCAACATCAGAGGTTTCTATGTCCTGGATGCCTTTTTTTTTCTTTTCTTTTTATCCCCTCCATCGTCTTCTGGGGGTTTGGGCCTGATGTCAGGTAAGATACACCAGTGATAGGAAGATATGCTGAGTGAAGACAGGAAGCATGATTCTTTATTCTCCACACTATTCCCCCCTCCGCACCCCACCCCCACCCCGAGTAAGTTCTAGGAGGCTTTCCTAGATCAAAAGGCACCCACATTTTTAAGGCTCTTGATACATTTTGCCAAATTGTCCCGCGTGGCACTTTCACTTGGCATTGCTGGCTCTGCTGAACGTGTTTGGTTTTGTTCTTCAGGCACGGGTGGATGGAATGGTGGGACTGAGGAGTGAGGAGTCTTCACATAGGAATTCTAGGGAGAAATAGATCAGGAAACGGTGCCTAATGTGGAATTTCCATTTCTTACTACACGTGGGAAATACAGTTACTCCTCTCCTTACCTAGAGAACGTGAAACAGACACCGGTTCAGGAAAGCATGACTCAGCAAGCTGCAGAACACCCCCTTCTGCAGGGGGGGTGTCCACACCCGGCCCCACTTGAGGGACTCAGGGCCCACGGTGAAGCGGAGCCTTCTTCTAGCCTTCAAATGAACCATCTTGGTTATTTTTTGTTTGAGACGTAGCAGGGAGGCAGGTCTGGGGAGGAGAAGACGAATGAGTCAGGAAGCCATCCTGTCTTGGGTTTTCCCTGTCTGGGTTTCAAAGGTCTTTTATCTCCGTTTGCAAGCAAACTAAGGTTCAGAAGACCAAGCACTATTGCAGTCACCAGCTTGTGAAGAACAGAGTCTCAAACTCCGATCTAGATGTTCTTCCTGATTCCAGTTTAGCTCCCTGCTATCCAGTCATATTCTCAGGGGCCCAGGAAAGCAGGGGGAAAGGGCACCGCATTAGCAGAGCCTTGGGGCCCTTCCCCACGGCACTCTCAGGCTTCCCTGGTTTCCAGCATTGCCCTACCTGTATTCTGTTCCCAGAACTGCCTTTCAGAACGAGACAGTCTAAACGGAACAGCTCACTTACCCGAACTCCTCTTTGTAGCCTCTGCTCTGTGGCTTTGCCCCTGTATTGATTTTTCCTTGACTGCTCAGCCACCTCTTGTTCAGAGCCCACAAGTCCTAGTTCAAGTGTTAGCTCTCCTTCTGTCTCACAAGCTATCCTGGCCCTTCCCGTCTTGGTTCTCCCACCTCTCCTATCTAGGAATTCCCTGTGACCAGAGTTCTAAACGATCGGTTGGTGTTCTCAGTAATTTTTTTATTGCAGCCCTGGCGAAAACCAATGCCCAACACTCCCACATACTTAGCAGTTAGGTCCAGAAGCTTAAAAAGTATTTGTGTCCTGTTAATTTCATAATCACTTGAAATAACCACAAATCGAAATTGAAAGGAAATTATTTCAGTTTCATGTTCAACTATTGCAATTGCTTGCCACGGGGGTCCTTGGGGGAGACAGCAGGACTTCTCAAACCTTGGGACCCTGTTGGGGGCTGCCATTTTCATGGTGGCGTTCCGCACTTACTCTGGCTTCCGATTCCAGCCACGGATGAAAACCCAGTGTTTGCAAAGACTGTGGTGTTGGAGAAAGGGATGTAGCATACTCTAATGTTAAAACCCTGGGCTCTCTTTCTTACAACTGTGCATTAGGTGGGGCTTTACATGGCAGATCATTGGCTCTGTGTTCACCTTTTGAAACACCTTGCCATACATCCAGTGGCTTGCTCTGCCCACTCCCTGCCTTTCCCCATCTCCCATTGGTAGTCTATCACCTCAGTTAGCCCCGATCTACTCTCTGGCCTCCTGCTTCCCCATCCCAGCCTTCCCATCTCACTCTTGGGAACCCCCAAAGTCTGCTTCTTTGGGTATGAAAATCTCTTGAATTCTTTTTTTATAACAGTCATCTCATACAATGTGTGGCGGTTTGGTTTTGATCAACTTCTCTCGGCATCGTGTCCTCTGAGTCCATTCATGTCGTGAGTTGTTTTATAGTTTCATCATGATTCTGGTCAAGGCGTAGTATTCCTTTGTGTGGACGCGTCAAGGATCCCTATCCATTCTCCCCTGAGTGGGCACTCAGACGGTTTCCATCTGCTTGCCGTTGAGAATAATGCTGCAATGAGCGTGGGTGTACATCTATCTGTTCTTGCTGAGTAGCTCTCTTGTTTCTGTAGGTTATGTACCAAGGGGTGTGACTGCTGGATCACAGGGTGCTTCTGTTCCCAATTGCTCGAGGAAGTGACTGTGAATTATCTTGAGGGAGTAGTTTGTGCCAAGTCCCACCGATTTTGAGTATCAATGTGATTCCTCGAAAATTTAAACTTACCATCATAGCCCTGTGCCTTTACTGTTGCTACCCAGGGCACCTCAGCCCACAGACTGGCCAAGAGCTTTTCCATTCTTCCAACGACAGAGATGTTCCTCCTTCTACGGCATTCAGTTGAGGACATGCACTATGTCTCTTATTAGAGCAGTGGTTCTCAACCTTCCTCATGCCGCCACCCTTTAATACAAGTTCCTCATGTTGTGGTGACCCCCCCCCCAACCATAACATTATTTTTGTTGCTACTTCATCACTTTCATTTTGCTACTGTTACGAATCGGGCAACCCCTGTAAAAGGGTCGTTCAACCCTCAAAAGGGTTGTGACCCACAGGTTGAGAACCGCTATACTAGAACCTTTAGATTGGAAGGTAAGGACCATACCTGATTCATCTCTGTATCTTTCATAGCAACTCTCAGTCATAATGACTAACACTTGATGAGCATTTACTAGGCCCAGAATGTCCATACACATGGCTTCAATGTCCATAAGCGTCTTATGACACCACTCAGCCTCACCTAGTACAATGCCTTACCCATAAACTCCTAGCCAATGTTATTTCCATGAATGAATACGCTTGTATCTATCCGGGTCAGCCATTCACAGAAAGCTTCATTAGGTCAAGTATTAGATGCCTCTACAAGTCCATCATGGGCTTGCGACACAGCATTGGACTAAGCAGAGGTCTGCCACTTAACAATATCTAGCTCAGAGGAGTATTGTGAGGATCAAATGAGATTTTGTCTGCAGATGAAAACTTTGGTGGACACAAGCTTGGGCAGGTGTGCCTAGTACAGACACTGTTAATGGTGCACCCCTGCTAAGGGTGTTGATAGAGGAGGGGGTGATGCTAAACAGAGGACTGGATGGGACATAAGGGCTATAAGTTGCTACTTTGTCTCCAAGTGACCACTCTCTAGGCATGGACTAAATTCTCTCTGGAGCCACACTAATGGACACATTAGTATCAATTGACAAAGCACCATATGCTCTGAAATGTTCCTCTAATAAACTTCATGGGAAGTGGCAGGAATTCATGGCTCATTATAGGAAATCTGCCTTGACTTTAGCCTTCAGAGAAGTATGCTCCTGGATCTGCTGGGTCCTAAAAGGTCAGGCTATCCCCCTGACCACACAACATTGCACCAGACAACCCTTCTTTTTGGCCAGGACATCTACAAGGTGAGGCTATTTTATCCTCCAACACTTTGGCATGAAAAAAATATCTTGTAGAAAAAAAAAAATTTATCTTTTAACAGTGGATCGTGTTGCAAATACTCTTGCTGTTGCAGTCACTCTAATCAGCACGTAATAGTCAGTGTTCAAGATCCAGATCATGAAAAGACATCATACCTTCAGTGCCATTGAGTCTGTGACTTGTCACAATCCATCATTTCATCTTGACAGCACCTTCAGCGTTTCTCTGTCGCGTTCAGTAGCAATCAGTCCACCTAAGAAAGAAAGAGAAAAAAAATTTAAAAGACAGAGGAAGAAAGGAGATGCAAACTCCACCAATCTCGAAAGATGACGAGGCTTTAGAGTGACGAGATGTGAGGCTCCACCACGCATAGTAATCACTGGCATGCATTGACTACCTCCGATACGATGCTACTCTGCTACTTCACCTTTACTTCATTTAATCCTCACAATACTCTTCAAGGTCAGGTATACCTCTATGCTGTGACGGAGAAACTGAGAGGTTACATTTACTGTTCACGGGTGAGAGTTGGGATTTGAGCCACATCTAATTCCACAACCCAGATCTTTTCCAGATGGTCTCCTTGACTCAAAGAAGAGATGGAAGCCGTGTCGCATGACACAGGACATCGTAACAACACATGAACAAAGCCTTGTTTTCTAGAGAATAGAGATCACTCGTCTCTGGCTCGCTATCCCCACCAAAGGTGGAGAAAACACCTTCGTGAACCGTTAAGGGTCATGACTAGTGCGGTCCCCTCCCAGCCCTGCTACTTCCCTTTGCTCAGGACTCTTCTGCTTATACTGGTCAGGAATCCTAGATGAGGCTTCTGGATAACATCACTTCAGTGAAACAAATTATCCCACTGGCCTCCACGGTCCTAAAGTTAGCAACGCAATGACGTTGTTCGATCGTCTGTTTTATAGAGGAAGACACTCACACAGACAGCTTGACCAGAATAACCCAGAAAGATTTTAATTGCTGTTCACTACAGAACAAAAACAGTGGGGGAACAGAGGGCCGACATAGGAAATCCGTTCAAAAAGTCCTCGTCATCATCTATTGACTAAATTGGGACTCATGGTAAACCCAGGTTTAAATCTTGTCTCCATCACCGGTGAGTTGAACGATCTTGGGCAAGTGGTTTCACCTTGCTGAATGTTTTCATCTGGAAAATGGAAACCCTAATACATGATCATTGGCATTGTAGTGATCATTAATAAGTATGTTAAACACACAGGTAGAGAACAAATATTCCTTTCCAGTTTCAGAGCCTTCCCATAGGCTGCTCTCTCTGCCCGGGAATGCTATCCGCCCCAGAGCTGCCCTTCAGGTTGTTTTTGTTAGGTGGTTCTGACTCAGATGTCCTGAGGTCAACAGAAGGCCGTGCCTGGTAATGGACCATAGAAATGTTGCTGTATTTGAGTCCAGTATTGCAGCCACTGTGTCCATCCATCTCACTGAATGGCTTCCTCTTCCTCAGTGACCTTCTGCTTTCTCAAACACGATGGCCTTCTCCAGAGGCTGGTCCCTCCTGAGGACATGCCCAGCGTGGGTGAGGCTGGCCATCCTCATTTCTAAAGTGCCTTCTGGCTGGGTTTCTTCCAACACAGATTTGCTCGTTCGTCTGGCAGTCCATGATGTATTGCCAGCCTCGTAGTTCTAAGGCATCAGTTCTTCTTTGGTCTCTGAATTCAATGCCCAGCTTCCAAAGGCAAATGAGGCCATTGAAAATCCAATGGTTTGTCACAGACTCACCTCAGTCTTCAAAGTGATTGCTTTTGAGCACTTTAAAGAGATATTTTGCAGCAGATTTTCCCAGTGCAATGTATTGTTTTATTTATTTTTTTGCTGCTGCTTCCATAGGCATCAACTGTGGATTCAAGTTAAATGAAATCTTTTATATTTTAATATTTCCTTCATTTATCATTGTTGCTTATTGGTTCAACTGTGAGTACTTTTGTTTGCTCTTTGTTTTCTTTATGTTGAGGGGAGGAGCCCTGGTGGTGTAGTAGCTCCAAGTTAACCACAAGGTCGGCAGTTCAAGACCATGGCAGCCCCTCAGGAGAAAGACAAGACTGTCTACTCCTTTAAATATCTACAGCCTGCGATACCTGTGGGGCAGTTCTGTTCTGTCCGACAGGATCACTGTGAGTTGGAATCAATTACATGACACTGGGTTTGGTTTTTGTCCTTAAATGGCATTAATTCTTTCATTCCTTCATTAGATGTCCTGGGTTTAAATTCAAGCTATGCCATTTGCTAGTTGAATGATCTTGGGAAAGTTAATCTTAGTTTTCTCATCTATAAAATTGGGATACAAATAATTGTGGTTACTATAAGGAGACGATGTGAACAACTTGAAACCATGCCTACAAATAACAAACTCAATAATTTAAACACCCCTCCCCCAAGAAGAATTGATTTCAGAGGACAGCACTGAATCTGCAGCTCCGGGAGAGGGACATGCCTGATCAAAGCACACGGGAGCAAATGAAGGGGGAGGAAGAGAGAGTGGAGCACATTCTGGCCCACCAAGCCTTGAGGACAATATTCCCACTCAGAGCAGCCAATCCACAGAGAAGACCACATGGCCGGCCCTGACATTCCTTACTGACCCATAGCGCTACAGGGGACAACACTGGAGACACTGTGGGAATTGCGCCCGATCTGATCCCACCACACCGAGGCAAAACACTAAGAGCGTGGAACAGAACAGCAAGGGGAGCAGAGCAACGAAGACACCGGGGAATACCAAAAATAGACTGGAGCCAGGGCTTGGCACCCCAACAGACTCAACTGGAAAAGACTGCTAAAGGCCAACAAACAGTCCTTGAACTAACTACAAGCTTTTCTTTCTTGTTGCTGTTTTGTTTTGTCATTGGCTTGTTGTTGTTGTTTTGCTTTATTTTGTTGCTTGGTTTTGCTTTGTCTTGTCTTTGTCCATGTTATTATCTCCGCAGGTCTGTCTAGATAAGATAGGTTGGATGAACAATCTGGAGGAGAAAACAACGGACCGACAGTTCTGGGGGGACATGGGAGAGGGGGAGGTGACTTGGGGGAAGGTAGTGGTGTTAACAAACCTAGGGACAAGGGAACAACAAGTGATCCAAATCAGTGGTGAAGAGGGTGTAGGAGGTCTGGTAGGGTTTGATCAAGGGCAATGTAACTGAGAAGTCAGGGTGCAGTGTAGCAACAATGAAACATACAACTTTCCTCTAGTCCCTAAATGCTTCCTCCCCACCCATGATCATGATCCCAATTCTACCTTACAAATCTGGCTGGACCAGAGGATGTACACTGGTACAGACAGCAACTGGAAACAGGGAATCCAGGGTGGATGATCCCTTCAGGACCAGTGGTGATACCAGGAGGGTAGAGGGAGGGTGGGTTGGAAAGGGGGAACCGATTACAAGGATCTAAATAACCTCCTCCCTGGAGGACAGACAACAGAAAAATGGGTGAAGGGAGATATTGGACAGTGCAAGATATGACAAAACAATCATTTATAAATTATCAAGTGTTCGTGAGGGAGGGGGGAGGGGGGAGCAGGAGGGAGGGGGAAAATGAGAAGCTGATGCCAGGGGCTTAAGGGGAGAGCAAATGTTTTGAGAATGATGAGGGCAATGAATGTACACGTGTGCTTTATGCAATGGATGTATGTATGGATTGTGATAAGAGTTGTATGAGCCCCAATAACATGATTAAAAATAATAATAATAATAGAATAAATAAATTTAAACCAGGGCAGTTTGTGGGGCGCATGAGGTGATTCTGGAGGGCATGCGCTCATCCGTGGGTAAGAATATCAGGCTATCTGGAAGTTCAAGACATTTACCCTTTATTTCTGGAGTTCAGAAATTTCACCAGGATACATTTTTAAGAATTAATTCTGTCAATCCTGTCTTTTAGTGGGTTACATATTAGGCTGCTAACTGCAAGATCCATAGTTCAAATCCACTGGTCACTCTGCCTGCTCCCATTAAGATTTACAATCTCCGAACCCTAAGGGACAGCTGCTCTGCCACCCAGGGCCCCTCGGAGGTGGACTTGGCTTGGTGGCAGCGAGCTTGGTTTGGGTGCATTTAGATACTTCACCTGTATTTGTTCATCAGCACCCAGTTTTTATTCATCGTTTCCCTTTCTCCTCATTGTGAATTACTGAAGGAGCCCTGGTTACGCTGTTGGGTAAGTGTTGCATTGCTAACCACTAGGTCAGCAGTTCAAGCTCACTAGCCACTCTGTGGGAGAAATGTGAGGCTATGTGTTCTCAGAAAGATTTACTACAGGAATACCCTATCGACCTCATGGCAGGGTGTGTGTGTGAATATTTTTAAAATTCTATTTTGATCTTCTACTCCCCTAAAGAGTTACAGTCTTGGAAACTCACAAGGGCAGTTTTACCTTATCTATAGTGTCGCTATGGGTCAGCACTGACTTGATGGCAGTGAATTTAGTTTAGTATTTTGGGGTAGTTTTCTTTTCTTTCTTTTTTTCCCCCTTTGTGACTAGTATAGGGATTATAGCTCACATCCTAAATTTGTAACAATGGAATTTAAATCAACATCAACGTAATTAACTTCAATAATATAAAAATTATGTTCCTGTGCTGCTCTTCTTTCCCAATTATGTTGTCACAAACATACTGTCTACCCTGCTCTCGTTCTGGGACTCCTGTAACGTGTACTTGGCACTTGATGGCATCTCACAAGTGTCTTAGGCGCAGTTCACATCTCTTCATTCTCTCTTTCTTTTTATTCCTCAGATTCAATCATTTCAGCAGTGTTATCTTCAACTATGTGGACTCTTATGCCATCTTAAATCTGCTGTTAAGTCTCTCCAGTGAACTATCCATTTCCATAGTTTTCAGCTCCTAGGATTTCTAGTTGATTCTTATATATATATACACACACACATATATGAACATATATATTAATTCCTGCTTTATTTCTGATCATTTTAGTTCTTTGTTCATATTTTCCTTTTGCTCTTTGAATATTTTTAATACTATTGTTTTAAAATCTTTCTCTGGCAAGTACACTATCTGACCTTCCTTAGAAATGGTTTCTGCCCTTTATTTTGTTCTTTGACATGGGCCATCCTTCTGTTTCTTTTTTGCCTTATGAATTTTTTTCTTAAAACGGAGACACGTAGCTATTGTCATGTGATCATGCTGAAAATCATGTTTTTCCTCTTCTCCAATCGTTGTGGACTGAACTGTCTCCACCTGTCTCCCCCCCCCCCACACAGTTT